ACAACAGTCCTGGCTAGCGGTCACGTGGGACATGGGTCTTCTCAGAGACAGTGGGAGTTGCTGCTACCTTTTGGGAAAATCATCAGGCGGTGTATATTACCCTTAACCTGACACTCTTTTAATACCAATTTGAGAATCTCCCATACCAATAAAGGCACCAACATATTAGGATACAGGCAGAAGGCTGTTCGTTGTGGCACAGCTTTAGTAACAGAAAAAGCTGGAAAAGGAGAACAGCCAAATAAAACATGTAGCTACTGAAAAGATCTATCTATGCATTGACTTGGAGGGCTGTCCATAATCGTTTATTAAATGGAAAAGAGCATGTTGCAAAGTAATAGATATAATCTGAGTTTATATTTATTTTAAAGAGAAAAGAAAAAAGAAAAATCTCATATATAGGTAATATTATTATGCATATGTAATGTACACATGCATTCTAAATACAGATGTACGTATAAATAGACACTCTTTAGAAGCATGAGATTTAGAAAGGAACTAAAAAAAGACAGGAAGAAAAAAAATGAAAGTAAGAGAGAGAGAAGGAACATTGATTTCTCACTAAATATTAACTTTTCTGTCTAAATCTTTGAGTAAAACTAGAGCCCACTGCTTCCGTGTCTTTGTGTATAGCCAGCACACCATAGCCTGCCCCTGGGTCAGTGCAAACCAATTTGAGAAGCACAGTTTGTTACAACATAATATAAAAGTCAGCAGAGGGTGCCTTGGGGATGCAGGGAGTTTCATATCAAATCACATGTGGTGACTGTCTCACTGCCCTCCCACCTGGCCAGCCAAAGCTGATGTCTTGTGGTTGTTCCTAAAGCCACGCTAGAGGGACAATGATGAAATGGAGCACCTCGGGGCAGGGATGAGCTCACTCTGTGTGAAGGAAACGCATTCAAGTTGAGATGGAATCTTTGTTTTCATATGCTTGAAGAGCTGTCTCACAGAGGACAAATAAGTTATAAAAAAGCAGATTTCAGCTCAGTGTAAACAAAAACCTGTTAAGATTCCCTTGACCCCAGTTTTCTCTTCTATAAAGTGAGAGTAATACCACATTCTCTAACAATGACATAGAGATGCAGTAAGCATCAGATAGGGCGAAGTGTAAGCTAGGAATTCAGAAACTGGAAGGTTGTGGTCCTCAACATTGGCCGTGCATTACAACTACTTGGAGGGTCTAAGAAATCCTGGTGCTCTTTCTACCTGCACCCCAGATCACCTCAATTATGACCTCTGGAGGTGGGATTCAGGCATGGGTACGTTTTAAATCAGGTAATTCTATTCTACAGTTCCATTGAGAACCACTGACCAAAATAATTATTCGTTGGATCCCAGGTGGTTGTGGGAAAAGTAGATTTGACCTGAGCAGATCTGGGGGCCAATTAGAAAAAAACAAAAAAAAAACATTAGTCTAAGAATGAGAGCTAAAGGTTAGAGTTGACCACCTCTGGAGTGAGATGCAGTCAACCCTCAGTATCTGCAGATTCCAAATCTGTGAATTCAACCAACCACAGAAACCAAAAAAAAAAAAAAAAAAAAAAAATCCAGAACATTTCAAAGAGCACAGCTTGAATTTACTAAGATCCTGGCAACTATTTACATAGTATTTACATTGCATTTACAAGTATTTACATATCACTTACAATGTATTACATGTTAGAAGCAATCTAGAGATGACCTAGAGTATACAGATGTGAGTAGGTTTTATGCCATTTTCTGTAAGGGATTTGAGCATCCTTGGATTTTGGTATCTGCGGGGGTCCTGGAACCAATCCCCAGTGGATACCGAGGGACGACTGCATAGACCACACAGGCGATCAACAGCATGATTAACAGTGAAGATGGTTTAAGTAATATTTGCCTCCTTATAGGTCCACGATAAGCAACTCAGGGGAGGCTAGCTTTGTATCTTTCCCCAAAGAGATCCTATTTGGGAAGGTAAGGGAAACACAGTTGATGGAGTGAATGTTTCTGGACTTTAGGAAGGCCTTGGACAAGCAGTCAGAATGCCTCTGCATTAGCTGTAAGCTAATTTTATTGTGAATAATTCTGTTCATGATTTTTTCACCAGCCTATAATTGACAAAATATATCCAAATAATAATTAGAGCCTGGAGAGTGGTTCTTAATTACAGGCCATGAAGTACTTACTGCTCTTGTCCATTTCTAGCTTGTTCCCTTTCTATCAGTGGTGGTTAAGCTGCCACGTTGGTGGTGCTGAGCTGGACCGGGGTGGAGGTGGGGGTGGGGGTGGGGGTGGTGCAGAACAAAGATATCATACAGGAGGGGAGAGACGGTGGGCGAAGCATAAAGAGATGAAGAGATCAATGCAAAGCTCTTTTCTTTCCCCCTTCTCCCTCCCTGATGATCCCCCACTCCAAGAGAAAAAAATCAAGCTTAAAAACCCCAAACCCGACTGCCTAAGTCCATGATGAAAGAAAAATGATTAAACAGCAGTGTCTGCCAAAAAGATGATGAAGTCTATATGAATCAGCCAAGTGACTCAGCAGCTAAATAAAAGCTTATCTTGAGTGTTTGGGCGAAGGGAACAGGTGGTCCTGCTCTGCTCTGTGGTCAGTCCCCCTGGTATTGGCAGGCTCAGGGTTCAAGAGAGGCAAGGTCCACAAGGCCAAAGGGCTGGGGGGATCTCTTGCAGACAATGCCAGAGCCGGCCACGATAAGCCCGGGGAATCACTGAGAGGAGTGACGAGCTGCCTTCAAATATCTGAAGGGCTAGCAGCGGGGAGAGGGTTTGGGTTTTCTCTATGTGGTTCCAGAGGACAGAGCGGGCTTGGAGCTATTCCTTGCAGGAGCCAGATTTTGACTCCACAGACTCTATCGACTGCTAACTCTACTGACAGCTTTACTAGACAACTGCTTGTAAGAGGTAGTGAGGTCTCCATTATTGAGGGCAGTCAAACAGAGGCAAGACGACCACCTTGTGGGAATGTGGCAATGGTGGGGGAGGGGGAATTAAGAATCAAGTGTTGTGTGAGGGCTGCACCCACTGGCCTCAGAGATCTACTTAGACTATTCAAAATCCAGTGATGCCTTTATGGCATGCTCTTCCTTACATTTTAGTCTTCTGAAACTTGTTTGTTTATCGGTGAGCTGGAGTGATCAAGACATCATTCCCAGAGGACCACAGTCATGGCTGAGAATCATGTTATTTTCTTCCAACCCTTCCTGCCTCTCCTCCTTTCCCCTACTTCAGCCAATTAAGACAGATCTCCTTGTCCATCCTCCAAAATCTAATTTTTAAAAATATAATTATCACAGATGATGCCTCTTGTGCAGAATGATGGGAGAGCCACAGAACAGAAAAGTTGCAAGGACCATGCTCAAAAAGAATTCTTCTGGCCTCGACCATTGATAGAATGTTAAGGAGGAGGCAGTTTCCAGAGAAAATGTAGCTGTTACTGATAAGTAGACATTTTAAGGAAGATAAAGTGAAGGCTTAGGGGAGAAATATTGTTCTAAATTCTCTCTGGATTTTTTTTTTCCTTCTGGGTTGATGATCTTCTCGCAGTTGGTGTTGACTCAAGTTAGGTTGAAGACAATACAGTCCAGATTCCTCATTGTCCAGAAAGAAGAAACTGAGAACCGAGCACCGGGGGTGGAGGTGGGGGTTAAAGTCATTGGTCCAACCAAGGTCACCAGAGCCTCCTGGCAGAGCATGTAGTCAGAACTGCACGCTGCAATCTCCGGTCCCCCCACCCCTACCCCAACCTTCACAAGCCTGGGAGCCCCCTCTGTGTTCCTTCCTGAAAAGGGTGGGGTCCTAGTTGCCCCTGGACTTTGGCCAACCAGGATCTGGGCCTTAGGCTGCATCTCGAAAGTTGTGAGCAGAAAAACTCAGCCCCTGGCTGTATAGTTCTGCTCTAAGCCCTTCATTTCATTGGTTTTCAGCTGGCCACCCAAACCCAAACCCAAACCCAAACCCAAGAACCACCTTCCAACTCCTTGACCTTTCTCCTGGTGCTCAAACATCCTCAGGGTCAGAATGTGAAGCTCTGCTTTTCCCCCAAGAAGTAGCCATATCTGAGGGGCTTCTGGGCTGGGGCGCTCCCTTCCAGAGGGCGGTGTGACAGCTTCCATCCCTTTGACACAGCAAAGTCCCCTCCGAAAGGGAGTCCAGAAACAAGCCTCCTTCTGCCAGTAGAGGAAACTGGGAGACCAGTGAGCCCCCTTGCAAACAGGACCAGTAGCATAATTTGCGAGGCTCCGTGCAAAGTGAAAACACGGGGCCCCTTGTTCAAAAACTATTAAGAATTTCAGGACCTGGGCAGAGCGCATCAAACCAAGTGTGGGGTTTCGAGGTCCCAACTCAAGAAGCCCAGCCTGCTTGGCTGGGTCCCAAGTGGACTGAGACAATACCTGTTTAAAGTCCAGGAATGAAGGAGCCAGGGGGAACTTCTAGTTCCCCAAATGGATGCTCTGTTCATCCCCAACATGCATCTCTGTTTCCTCCCTGTCAGCAGGTCTGCCAAGGGACCACCAGGTCGCTGTGGTGGTTCTAGAAGCTGGCATTTCATCCTTCCCATGTTTTCCCCTCCAACGCAGTATGCCTCTCCATCACACCCTCATTAATCCTGAAGCTGTTCTACTTAAACGCAACCAGAGGGGTGGCGCATGTTTAATGCGAAAGATTAACGTTCGACTGGGCAGCAGAACCGTGAGATTTTATTTGGGACTAGGCACCAGCCAGGGGCGCAGTGCATCCCTCCACCCCTGCGGAGCGGGGAGCCCCTGTGCAGGCTAACTCGGGCTCTCGCCTCCTGGGGGCGCCGTGCCCCAGCTCTGAGCCCCCAGGGAGCGCCGAGCGGGGCGCGGGGCGCGCCGGCACTGCAGGGTCTGTCCCCGCTGGAGCCTTTCGCGGTGCCCATGCGCCCCCCCGCGCCCCCCGCCGGGTGCTGCACCGGACCTCCCCGCCTCCTCGCCCCCTCCGCACCTCCGCAGCCCCTCCCGCGCCAGCTTCCAGAAAGCTCCCGGTGCTTTCCACGGCATTCTTTGGGCGTGAGTCATGCAGGTTTGCAGCCAGCCCCACAGTGGGTGGATCCCGGGCAGAGCGTTATAAATGCAGGCGCCTCACGGCGCTCCGCACGCGGCGTCGCTAGGAGGAGCGCGCAGGCACCGGGCACCGCTGACCGGTGAGCTGTCCCCACCCTCCCTGCCCCTGCGCAGAGCCCCGCGGGACCGATGGGCGGGCGGGGGTGGCAGCCGGGCGAGAAGAGGACGACCGCCGGTAGTCACAGGGCCGTCAGAGGGGCGCTTTGGATGGAGTCCGGGTGTCCAGGGAAGGGAGATGGCTGGAGCGCCATCGCCACGCAGCCGAGCCGAATTGCTGGGGTCAGCGCACAGGCAGGGACTCAAGGGCCCTTTTTTTCATTAGTTCCAAGCACAGTTCTGTGGGGTGAACAGTACAGGTGTGACGATCTTCCTTTTGTAAAGATGTGGAAAGTGAGACTGAAGGACTGACGCTATTGCCGGAGGCCCAGGCTAGTGAGCAGAGCCCGCCTGCGCTTAGAGCCTTCCTGCAGCATCTTCCTTGGGAAGGTACTGATCTCCAGTGATGGTTGTCAGCCTGCGCTCACGAGTCATCTTGTTTGCTCCGGAATACTCCGGTTCTCTGGATGCTTATGAGTATGCTGTTTTGATTTAAATATATGTTGCCGCTCCTTAAATCCTACTGTTTCTGCTTCCTAATGCACCAGGGCACCTCAGAGAAACGTCACACAGCCTCCATCAGACTTCAGACATCCGATTCCACTGTCTCATTGTGTAGATGATAATCTGAAACCTGAAGAGGTTTAGGACCAGCTCTGAAGATAAATGTCAAATAGGTGTCAGAATTGGGATTAGAACCAAAGCCTTGACCTCCCAGAATTTCTGGACTTAAAAAAAATAAAAGAAGCAGCAGCTGATTATTGTTATTCATTTAAGAGTGAGGTTAGGAATTTAAAAGTAAATACATATACTATGAAAGGATGCCTGCGAGAGTGTTCATTATAATAATCGTGGGAAATTACAGACAATTGAAATGCCCAGCCTTGCGGGATGGCAAAATAAAGTCCATCAGAAAAAGGACTATTACACAGACACAAAAGTGTGCTTGAAAGCAAAGGGTCTGATTGTATAAAAATGCATAGAAATAGAAGGAACTATACCACGGTGTTAATGTTTGCCTCGTGATGGTGTGAATTACAGGTGAATGATTTTCTCATTTTTCTTTTTTGTGAGTGTTCTACCGTTGGGAAGGCAGGAGGAAAGGAGCTTGCGCTTTGGGCTCTAAACCCCAGCTTACTAGCTGCGTGACCAAGTACCCCCAACGGCTCCCTGTGTAGGGGCGAAGAGGCTGTCCCCTAGTGCTGGGGGAAGGAGGGCCTTGGGATGGCTTGTTCAATCAGAGCAGTTGGCAGCCAGGCACCCTGGCCAGGAGATAGAGATGGAGATGGGAGGGGAGGTGAGTCAGTGCAAAGGGAAGGCAGTTTGGCTGCACAGCTGCTGTTCTGTCGTCCTTGGACTAGTGTCAATATCACCTCCAAGATTGTTAGAAAAGCGGACTCTGAATCAGAATCAACATTATAATAAGACTCCCAGGTAATTCACAGGTGCTTTAAAGGAGCCGATCTTTTCACTAAGGCAAAGCCACGCAGTTGGGGGGGATCATAGGTGGCATCTGTGTGCCCACTTCAGTTCCTCTGTCCTTTTCCAAATATGCCACCTCCTCCCACTTCCCCAACAGATATTGCCAATGCCCGTGATTGGTCCTACATCAAATTTTGAAGGAGTCAGAATTTCTTATGGTTACATAAGACCCTTGTGTTTACAGAATACATTCCCATCTCTGAGGTCCATATTAGGTCCATTTCACAGATGAAGAAACTGAGGCTCAGAGATTTAAGTGACTTGATGTCAAGGAAAGAACACTGGACTAGGGGTTCGAGGCCTGGGTTCCCATCCTGGGGTTGCTATGAGTGTGCTGCAGGCCTTGGGGAGCCCCGTCCTGTCTCTGGTTCAGCCTCCCATCTGAGGTGGAGGGACTGGGCAAGAGACTGATCTCTTCCATCTCTGAGCTCCATGGTTCCCACAGCCCCTGGGCTCCTGGTGGAAGATCTCATACTGACTGCTGAATTTCCAGACTCCTCATGCAGTGCTCTGGCCTTTGGCCTCCCTGCCTCTCTTTTCCTCAGGACCCAGTGCCCTGTCTTCTGGTCTGAACCTCTTTCAGAATCTCCTGTATGAATTTCTCAGAAGTCTTCACTATCAGGGGGCCTCTGTTGGAGGGGTGTTTCTTGCTGGCTGTCTCTCTGGCGTGACAAAGGCTCTGTCCCTGCTTGAGGCGTTTCAGGCCTCAGTGAGCAGCTGGGGCAGAGCCTAACAGACTTTCTGGCGGGCCTGAAATAGCGCCCTGGCTCCGCCGCCCACCCCGTCTCTGGGGAAGGCAGTGACCCAGCTCGCCTTTCCTATGCTGCTCGGGAACCCAGCTAAGGAGAGGCTTTCCTTATTCATGTTCTACCAAGGGTCCAGCTGGGCCCACTTAGCTGAGAGCAGCCTGTGGATGTGCACAATTTCCGGAAGGGGAGACCCCCTTACCATTCTGTTATGGAAAATGGGTGAATTCAGATGAGCAGTTGGTGGAGGGGGATGCAGGGGGAGGGTTTCTATTTTGCAACAACTTCAGCTTCTGGGAAAGGGTCCATTGTGTAAGACCAGCTGGTCCAGGGCTCAGGGCTGCCAGCCGGGTGGCTGCGGGAGGACCTTGGCAGACACCCTGCCGCGGGCTTGGAGGGACCAGCTGCGTGAAAGGGACCTGGCAGAGCAGAGGGATACGTTCTCCCAGAGGGACTTCTCCTGGGGAGGCTCCTTGCCTACCCGCCCCCAGTTAATCTTTTGGCTTTCTCCTCTCTCTCTGCTCCCTGAAGACAGTTGTCCTCCCCTCCTTGCTGGACTCCCATCCATGCATCCTGCCTCAAGTCACAGGCTAGGGATGGAAAATGGATTTATTTCCCTGTACAGACCCAAAGGGTCTGAGCCATCACTGCCTTAGACTCTTGAAAAGCAGTTTCAGGTGGTGTTGAGGCTTGGTGTGGACAGCGCTATGACTGATTGGTGATGCCTGATGTGGGCAGGGTTGGTGATGCACACAGCAGCTGGCTGGCTGCACTCTGGGCTGCAGCCCCCACTTTAGGGGAAGAGGAGAGGCCAGTTGAGTGACCCAAGAGAGCTGTTCTCAGGGTTTGTTTGATGTGAGCAGGTATCATTAGATAATGCCCTTTCTGGAGGCAGAAATCACGTGTGCCTTTTTCAGGCATGGTCAGCTGCTCGGGGGAGTGGAAGGGAGGAGGAGGAGGGAGAGGGCAGCTTGGACTGGAGTCTGGTGGCCCTGACTCTGGAGTTCCTGTTTCTTTTGTTTTAGGCTGCTGTCCTGTGGTTCCTCCCCGTACCCATTGTCTCCGCTTTCCTTTGAAGGTGCCCAGTGGCCAGTCTGATCCTTTCTTGTCACTTCTCCGGGATTAAAGTGATGCCAGCCGAGGGGGTAGCCAGGGGCGAGGTCTCCGCAGGGCTCCCGGGAGGCCACTGCAGGCAGCAGGCTGGGCCAGAAACCAGCGGGCTGTCTAGCTGTTACCATGACAGTCCCCTGTTCTCTACAAACAGAGGCGTGCTAGGATTCCAGAACCGGAGAAGGAGACAGAATGAAGACTCTGCTGCTGGTGGTGGGGCTGCTGCTGACCTGGCAGAATGGACAGGTGCTGGGTGACAAGGCCATCTCAGACAAAGAGCTCCAGGGTAAGTGACCAGGTGTCCTAGCACACGTCGCCTTGGTCAGGGTTAAAGACCATCTTTATCCTGTGCGTTGGATCTGGTTTGCACTGCTCGGACCCCTCTCTGAGCCCTCTCTCGCCGGCTCCCTGGCCTAGGCTCTCTGTGGTCAGGTGGGCTTCTAGGCAGTTTCAGGTGGGTCCCAAGCCCTTTCTGGCCACTGCATCTCAGGCCCAGAGCCCACACCTTCTCCAGGAAGGTCCACCAAGCCTGGACCATTGGGGCCTTTGTGGATCTGCCCTTCTTGAGTTTCCATAGCCCTTGAGAGCTGTACCTACCACCTTTCCACTTAGAAAATCAGTCCTCCAGTTCAGGAAAGGGGAAGTGTCATTCACCACGAGCGCTTGTCCTCTTTAGCAGCCAGCTGGTGGTCCCTCTGCTGCCAGGCCTTTTCTGAGACCTGTCCTCCCTCAGCTCCACTCTCGTCCTCCTAGCTGACCAGTTGGGTGGCAGTTAAAAATCCAAACATTGAGATCAGACCTGGGTGTGAGTCTGGCTCTGCCTCCCCCGCTGTATGAGTGTCTCCATTTCTCTGAGACTCTGTTATCTTCATTTGTACAATGGCATGAAGATGGTGCCGGAGCATTAAAAAAAGCCGTACATGTGGTATCCGGTTCTGCTCTTGGCCCAGGATAAGCACCAGGGAAGTGCCGGCTGTTCCTCTGTCAGCACTTCGGTGACATTGTCTCATTGCACAGGGTTGTGTCTGATCAAGTCTCCTTGAGACATGGTGCTGTTAATTCATCTTTGTGTCCCCATCACCTGACAAAGAGGTTCAGATGTTTGGTTAAACTGAATTCCAGAAAGACTTGTATCCACAAGAATAATATTTTATCTTTTGATGCTCAGCTATACTTTCAGGATTTTTTTTCCTTGAAAACTTTCATCTGCAGCTGGGTAGGTTCCTTCTCCAGAGCCCCAGGGGACGACTGGGTCGTCCCTCCTCTGGTGTGTGTCTGCACCGATGGTTTGCATTTCTGAACAGCGGGGTGGGTGTATGGATTCTCAGTCCCTGGGTCTGCATGAGCCCTGTGACGGACCTGTGTCAGGGCAAAGCTAGGGCCCAAAGGCTGCCTGCTAGGGGAGCTCCCGGCCTTGGCAGCCCCTAGATCCACTGGCCTTCCCGACCCTTCTGGCTAGTCCCAGGATTATATCCTCAATGGCATCCTTTCCGCTTGCCTCATCTACCTCCCTGCGCTTCTCTTGCAGAAATGTCCACTGAGGGGAATAAGTACATTAATAAGGAAATTAAAAATGCCCTCAAGGAGGTGAAGCAGATAAAGACCCTGATAGAGGAGACAAATGAAGAGCGCAAAACACTGCTTGGCACCTTAGAGGAAGCTAAGAAGAAGAAAGAGGTAAGGGTGACCCCCACCTTGACCCTCTGCTGCAGGGGAGGGAGTGGCCATCGCTCCTCCCCGTGCCCTGCCGGGTTGCCGTGGTGACCTGCAGTCCTTCCAGGCTGTGTCAGCTGATACTGGGGCTGTGGTTAACAAATAGGAAAGGTTTATTTGCTTTTGAAAGCTTCAAGGGGTGAGATCTTGGATCTGGTTTTGTTACAAGCCTGGCCCAGGACCTGCTGCCCAGATTCACATCAACAGATATTTCTAAACCCCGACTATGAGTAAGCTCCAAGGCAGGCTTTGGGTGGGGGCTGTCACTGTCACGGGTTAGGAAGGGGATGGCATTCTACCTTCAGGAAGCTTTACTAGGCGGGGCGATACCTTTGGGGGTACAACAGGCCACACTGCATTGCCCACGCCTTTGTGGAGTTCTGGACTACTTCATAAAGGGATACTTGGGCCTAGGACTGAACATACAAAACACGAGCACTGTACCAATAAACGGCTTATTTAAAAAATCAAGAGTCTCCCTAAGAGAATCTTAAGATCCTACTCCTGCTGCCACTTTCACGACCCATAACGCATGGAGCAAAAGCATTCGGAAGACTTGGAGAAGTTCTGCGGTAAAGAAGCACCTGTGACTTCATTTCACCCAAGTGCTTTCCAAATCGAATTGACTAGCGAATCCATTTATTTACTTATTTTTTTCATGGATAGCTTTTAGCGCAATTCCATAGAAACCACTTAAGGAAATGTTGGCCTGGATGCAGCTCTAACTTTCTTTGCAATGTAATGCCCTTTCTGGGCATCAGTATTAGTTCTCGCCATATCATAAGACTCCTCCTAGAGCCCACGCAGAAGTAGCAATTCTTGCTCTCGAATTTTTGTGGTTCTCACTGGAGTCTGAGATTTGACAATCCAGGTTTTATGATAGAGCCCGTCAAGTTGGGGAAAAGACTTCATTATTTCTTCTTCTTTT